TAGGGCTTTAGAACCGTCTGATCTTTTGTGCTAGTAATGAATGGCTAAGATTGCTTGTTTTTAGTTTTCACCATAAGCTCTGTTTTTAGCGGAACCTCCCCGTATATATATATATATATACATATATATATATACATATATATATATATATACATATATATATATATACATATATATATATACATATATATATACATATATATATATATATATATATATATTGGCCACATGAATGTTTGTTCGATCTCAATTCATTCTAGCTAGCACTTGTTTGAAGATGAATTCGACAACAATCATTTATTGTGTTAATTATATGTGAAAGGAGTTCATTGATGAATAATACTTTGTAATGATTATGTCTATTACATGAGATACTAATGATTTCTTATGAAATGTTAAGACAAGTAGCGTACTACTAATACACTAATTACATACTCCTTTTCATATATGAACTGTAAGTTCTAGATATAGCTCATGTACATATGCATCATAATTGACTTTATTAAAATGATCATATGATTTGTACAACTATCACGATTTTAGTATGAATATGCTGATTGATGTGCAATTAAATTCAATTATAGTATTATGTACGGATGTACCTACTTAAAGTTGGATTATTGAAAGTAAATTAAATATGTTTGCACTATATTTATTTGAGCAAGAGATAGATGATATTGTGGGAAACTTACTTGTAAAAAATATATTTATCATGCCCATACTTATAAGAGATTAATATAATTGGGCAAGAGTAACGAGTAAGAGCTTATAAGAATAATTTTATTATGTCTGATACATGCATTGCTAAAATAATTTATGCCTTAAAAGGTGGAAGAGATGTAAAGGTTGTTGGATTTATTTCATGCCCCACATGCAAGGATTAGGGGAGATTGTATTTATTCCATTATTTTATGTAATCCTTATACATAAATAATATAATATATTGATGATCAGTTTGGTACATATATTAACTTAAATATCAACGATTTATTTCATAAAAGTGGCACATGTTAATTATACCATCCTGAAGATGGATATAAATAAATGTCATTGATCATATACTAGTTGTAAATGCTCTAATTTAAAATTGATGTCCTAGAAGGACAACATCAATTATTGATGGACCTGTAGCACGCTTGATAACTTGTTATTTGACATGATTTTAGGGTACTTTTGAACCTTGTTTGCGTTATTAATCGACGTCAAAGTTCATTTTTTATCCTATTTTTATGCAAATTTTGTACCATCCATGCTTCACGGGTTGTTTGTGTTTTTGATGTAATGTAGCTATTTTTAGCACTATGGATGTGATCAAGAATGAGTGAGAAAGGATAAGGGCAAGCTTGGTTGATAGAGCCATGGAGGAAGAAGGAGGAATGCCTTAAAGGGAAATGAAAAGCTTTTGGAGAATCTTGAAAGGTTGTTTGCGTAAGTGTCAACTTCAACCGACCATAATTTTTGATCTACTCAACCTTTTGAAGCAATTCAAATTGGAGGTTAAAGTTCGTCTCAAGAGTTTTCCAACGCTGGTCACAAGTCTATTTCTGGCAAGAAACGAAGAAGTTGCAGCCTCCGAAAGTTAATTTGTCTAGGCAGGGCATTCTACATGGACGTGCAAGATGATGGCACGTCCGTGCCAAAATATGCACGTCCGTGCATACCTTGGCCTCCTATTTGGCCCTTCTGCACATCCGTGCCAAACTTGGCACGTCCGTGCTGAGCCTTGCACGACCGTGCCAAATCTGGCACATCCGTGCATACTTGCAGTCGAGCTCCTTCCTCGTTTTCCGTCCTTTTTATTTGGGGGTCTTATAAATACCCCTCTTGAGCTCATTTGTACGGGCTATGAAGGTTTTTAGTGCTTTCTCTTAGTTTAGCAATTTTAGAACATCAAAACTCTCAAAATCATTAGTTAGTTCTTAATTGTAGCTTGGAAATATTCAACTTCAATCATTGTAGAAGACAAAGTCCACCTTTGTTGCTCACTTTGAAGCTTCATAGTAACCATTTCTTACTCATCTTTTCCATTTCTCTTTACTTTGTTTGTAATTATTTGCTTAATTCTTGCATGCTTAGATTGTTAATTAGCTTAATCCCTAGTTTGAACTTGTTCATGAATTGCTTGAAATCTTTACTTGCTTAACCTCCATGGATTGTGAGTAGTCTAATTTCTAGGGTTTGGGTAAAACCCTCAATGTAGTCACTAATAACTAGTTGCATGTGCCAACTTGGTTGTTGTGGGATGTTAATTTGTTGAGCTTAAGTGGTTTAATTGCTTAGTTCTTGTATATGGCCATTGCTAGAACTATTTATCCAAGCTTTCTCAACGAAAGATCGAGAGATGAACTTGAGTTAGCTCCCTTATGCTTGATTAACCCGAAATGCCATGAGAATAGGAATTTACGGTCAAGGGAATGTTTATGTCATCGTGATTATGCTTTAACACTTGCTTTATACTTTGTAACCATGAGAGTAGGTTGTATTCATGATTCAAGTAATCCTTCTAGCTTGAGAGAGTAGTTGGGTGCCTTAGATGACTTCCCCTAATTTATCCCCTTAACTTACCTTGATTGTTGCATGCTAATCGCGACTTGTGATGAATTTGAGTGGTATAACCCGAGCCCTAGATTATTCTAAATATTGTTAATCTCCTCTTAGCTTTAGTTGAATTGAACTAGTAGAAGTTACTCAAGACCAAACCAATTTCGACTTCATTTAGCTTATTTAAACGGTAGTACTCGGTGGTTGATTCAACGCCTCTCTTGGGTTCGATCCTTTCTTACCCTTTCTATTAGTTAGTGAGACCAAGATAGGAATTTATATTTTGGTAGGCTTGACGACGGCCTATCAACGCCTGAAGCGTGATAGATCAATAGGTTCTAAAGATAATTAAATATCTTTGAAAATGAAAAGAACCACTATTGACAATGAAAAATTTGAGGAAGTGATGAATCCCATTACATTTATAGAAAAAATCACTTTTTGTAAAATTCATATGTTTCATGATTATATAAAAAAAAAAACTCCAGAAGAGTATGAAATATCCAACAAGATTAACATGTATTAAGATTATAATCAAAACTCCAGCAGAATATGAATAATTATTGGATAAAATATTAGTTAATTGTCTTGACAATTGTATAAAGAAATACATATTGGTGTTCTAATATCAAATCATATTCATGGCCATGCATAAAGTAAATTTAATAAAGTGATCATGCACTAGTGTTGGAAAATTGACCAGAGTTCAAATTTAGAGAAGTGATTGGAGGTGATAATTAAATTAAGCCATCCTAGTTTAATAATTGCCGTCATGGAAACTTAAACTTTCACCTGGTATGAAAAAAATAATGTGTCGACGCTCTCTCATATTAGATACTATGAAATGAATTGAATGGCAAGACATAACGTTGAGGTTGAGCTATATTTTAGATTGTGATTTAATAGTTTATTTTTGCATGTGAACAAGTAATAAGTGGCCAAAAGCTCACTAAAACAACTTGTATATGTAGAGATTTTGAGTAACTAAAAACTCATTATTAAAGTATTTGAAGAATTAGAAAATCACCATATAGTGGCTTTTCATACAAGTGATTTAATAGTAAATTAATCTCTTGATTGGGGCTATTTTATGTCAACACATACAAAATAGAATAAGAAAATAAACAACTGCACAAATCATGACTCCCTATTTAGATTGATCTCCAAAAGAGATAGAAAATTACATTATTCTCCAGAAGAGGTGAAATTTGTTGGATGATTATCCTGCGATATATATTCTAAGTTGGTGAAGAATTGCCCTAATATTTGAGATATTTTACCAACTAATGGGGAGAAGAACTTGAGTAAGTTGGCAAAAAAATTGCAAAATTATATTTAGTTGATCCCTATAATAATACTTTGTAAAGTTATATGTCAAATTTTGTATCAAGATATGTTGCACATCTATTACTTTATTTGTACATCGTTATGACCCATTCAAAGGTATAGAGAGATATATATTGATCATAGTGAGAATGTGCACACATTGAGATGGACCTTGCCTATTTTTGTTGAATCACTACACCTGAAGTGTAGATTGTAAGATCGGTTCCAATATATGTGATGTATGGCAAGATAGTGCAGTTGATATTAATATCATAATGTATGAAATACCCCAAATAGAAGTGGGATATATAGATATCCGAGAATTATAATAGATGGCCTATGATATGGAAAAAAAAGGGTTATAATGGTACCAATTGAAGATGTATTCAGATATCATAGTAAATTAGCATGCGAAATTATATCTTACCGAATTTTATAATATAGGTATACTGTGGAACCGATAAATAATATGCATTTGCATTATAGAATGGACTAGTGAATAAGGGATCTGAAATATGTATGTCCATTTTAATGTCGACATAATGATAATAATTAAAAGTTTATCATGAACCATAAGTCCAATGAAAATATGGATTTTTAAATCCACACTGTACAGTGTCTTGCATTATTTTAAGTCCTATGTATGTTCATATACATGTGTGAGTCATAGGTTAATATATTATTCATTACATATGTTAGAAGTTGTTAGATGTATTACTCATTGTATATTTTGTGTAATATGTTATCATGTTTTCTATATCTCATATTGCATGTATTAGTTTCTATACAATAATTGTGGTGTATGTGAATGTTCATTCAAAGTATAGTAAGACATATTTACAAACTTTGATGGAAAATTAGAAAGAGATATTTATATTCCAATGGGCTTATAATTGTGATGAAATTATTGATGACGCCGATTTAATTGCATGTTATGAGTCATGTAAGAAGAGAAGAACTTATATACATCGTATTTAAATATCTAGACCTACAAAGTTTATATCTTGAATATTGCAAATATTATCAAACTCTTGAAAAGTCAATATGGCTACATCATTGATATCTCAACCTGAAGTTTGAGTATGTGAGATTCAATTAATCTTTTTATTCATTGGTGAACTCTCATATTAAATATGAAATTTCCAAAGAATAGCATTGAGATATCTTTTGGTAAGAATAATTTTTATGGTCCAGAAGAATCATTAGTGATGTACGTGGGTAGTTATCTTATATCACTAAATCATGTAAAATCATATGTTGTCATAAATTATAATCTATTATTGATCATCAATTTCTACTAAATATGTCCATCGACCTCCAGAAGAAGGCATGCGTGTAATGATTAAGGCAACTTTAAACAAAGATTTCGAATGAGATGTGGACAAGCACAAGTATTATTATCATAAATATGGTGAAACTAAAGACGCCTCACTTGTTCACGTGAAGATTTGAAGATTCGAATTCAATTTGGGAAGATCAACTATCAAGGAATGTTATTCTGCTACAAATGAAAAGTTACCCACTGGCATTGGATTCATTCTAACAGAAGAACTCAAGTATGTATTCATCAGGGAGAGAAATTACATGCTGCACTCTTTTTCCCTTGACCATGGTTTTGTCCCACGTTGGGTTTTCCTGGTAAGGTTTTTAATGAGGCAGCATTGCAAGCGTATTACGAAGAATGATGTACTCTTTTTCCTTCACTATGTTTTTCCCACAGGGTTTTTCGTAGTAAGGTTTTAATGAGGCACAGTCTTCGATAATGGACATTCAAGGGGGAGTGTTATGAAATATTTGTGGATGCCCATTATATTCCTATACACTTTGGAATATTCTAGGTTTAGGGTTTAGTGTGTTATAAAAAAAACCCTAACTATTGTATATGTATATTATATTCCCTACTCAATGGAATAATAAACTGATCTCCCCAATTTCTCTCTCATTCTTTATTAACATAATAGTATTATTTTTGACAATTTTTCAAAAACATAATAAATTATGTGATAAATCTATGATTAAAAGTTAAAAAAAAGACCCTCGCGTAGGGTTTGGAAAAACTCTGTTAGGGTTCGTGTGCACTCTTGTGTTTGTTCGTGTTTTTCAGTGAGATTAATTGCTGTTTTAACTCCTCTATTTCTGTTAAATCGATCTTTACAATAAATTTTCTTGATCCTGCGGGTGTGGTGGCTGAAGAATTGATTAGGGATTGGAAAAACCTCAAACTTACGGATGAGGAAAACACCGTTCTGGGTGCGGCTTCGAGTGATGAATCTGTGGCCAAATCGAAGGTGAAATTGGAACTTTCCCTTATGGGGAATATGTTAACAATGAAGCCATATAATATAGAGGCGATGAAGAGGGTTCTAAAAGGTTGTGGAGATTGTCCGATGATGTTGCTATACGTGTGATTGACTCTAACTTATTTGTGTTCCAATTCTTCAATGATGAAGATAAACAGAGATTTCTTGATGGTAGGACCTGGACGTTTGATAAACAAATATTGTTGTTGAAGTCTATGGATGGGGATGAACAACCATCCGAGATTGTCATTGAAAAATGTCCTTTTTGGGTTAGAGTCCTTGATGTTCCTTTCGGTCGAAGGAACGAAGCTTTTGCTCGTGAGGTTGGGGAAGCAGTGGGGGGTTTCCTGGAGTTTGATGAGGAGGATCCTCAGGGATGGGACGAATTCATGAGGATAAAGGTGATGGTGGACATAACAAAACCGCTGCGAAGGGGGATTAAGGTGGCTACTTGTCCCTCGATGTCAAAGTGGGTAGGTTTTAAGTACGAAAGGCTGGGGGATTTTTGTTATTTTTGTGGAAGGTTGAGGCATCTCAATAAGGATTGCCTCGAACAGGAAAAGGTGGAGGAAGAACGCTCTCTGGTTTTTCAATATGGCCCGTTCATGGTGGCATCTCCACATCAACGACCTCGTGTTTCATTAATGGAGAGGGAGAGGGAGAAGAAATGGATTGAAAATCTATCAAGTACAAGGCATGTCCAACGTATGACGTATAACAATCCTAATGCCATTAAACTTGGCCTGCCTAGTGCTGCCAGGAAGATGTCCTTTACTCCTACAAAATCGGTTGTGCCTGTGGAACCAAAGGCAAGGGAAACAACTCTTATAGCAATGACTGAAGAAGGTAGTTCGAATGTCGTCCTTCATACTGTAATTGCAGTGCCTAATGCTCAAAAAAAGCCACTGGCAGTTTCTAGTGATGATGTAGGGGAAAAAAAAGAAGGGTGAGAGTGGAGAAGAGATGATGTTTGCGTCATCTCAAAATCTCTCGGAAGAAAAGAAGGTGAATAGGGGGTAACCCAGGCTGAAAATGATTATATGGTGGATGAAAATAATGTTGTGGTTGACATGGATACTCGTGAGAACATAGGGATCATGCCGAGGAGTAAAAAGAGGAAGGCTAATGACCGGTGCTTTGATGATGAGAATGCAGTAGAGTTGGCTCGTGAAAAAAGAGGTAGAATTTTACCACAAGATTTATCTCTTAATGACACATTTAAAGTAGAGGGACTTGGTCATTACCAAGCCCTCGAAAAGCCATGAAAATATTAAGCTGGAACTGCCACGGGCTTGGCAACCCGAGGCGAGTTCGTGCCCTCCAAGATAAATGTTGGAGGAAGAGGCCGAATTTTGTTTTTGTTATGGAGTCAATGATTGATAGTTCTGTATTAAATAAAATAAAAAATAGATGTGGTTTTTCTAATGGTTTGTGTATTAGCAGTGTCGGTAATTCGGGAGGCTTGGGGTTTTGGTGGAATGATATAATGCAAATGTTGTCTCTTTTTCCGACCACCATTTTGATGTGAATGTTCTTGATGATAATAATACTCCTATATGGAGAGCAATTGGAATTTATGGTTGGCTCAAACAAGCACAAAAAAATAATACTTGGTCGTTGATGACATCTCTACAATCTAGTAGTACTTTGCCATGTATTATGTTTGGTGACTTCAATGAGATAACAAGCTTGTCAGAAAAGGAGGGGGGTGTTCAAAGAAGTGAAAGGTTGATGGATGCATTTAGGGAAGCCATTGATCAATGCCATCTTCGAGATTTGGGTTTCAAAGGGAGTACTTTCATTTGGGAAAGGGGTAATTCCATGTCTACTTTTGTCCGTGAATGGCTTGACCGATTTCTTGCAGATGACAGATGGATGACTTTGTTTCCCGAGTATGAGGTCCGAAATTTCCCAATCTATAGTTCGGACCATGCTCCTATTATGGTGTATTTGAAGAAGAAAGCGGAGTCTGACAGGTGTGGAAAGAGCTTTAAGTTCGAGCCACTATGGCTATCGAGGGAGGACTGTGGAGAGATCGTTGATAGGAGCTGGAATGCAAGTTTGGAGCTAAATATTGACCGTAAAATTGCTCGATGTGGGGAGGACCTAATTTCATGGGCTATGAAGTCTTTTGGGTCTATTAAAAAGAAGATCAAAGATACTGAGAAAAGGCTTCGGGTTTTGAAGGAAGGGGCTATGGATGGCGCAACTCTTGAACTATGTAAACAACTGGCCGAACAACTTGACTCTCTCTATATGCAAGAAGAATCTTTCTGGTTTGCTAGAGCCCGAGCTAATGAGCTTAGAGATGGGGATAGGAACACAAAATATTTCCATCACAAAGCTAGTCAACGGAGGGCAAACAACCGCATCAATAAGCTTCTCGATCAGAATGGAACTTGGTTACAACAACAGGTTGATTTAGAGCGCCTCATTGAAGCGTATTTCAGGGATTTTTTTTAGTTGAGTTCCCCTACTGGATTTCAGGGAGCACTGGAAGGTATCGAGGAAGTGGTATCGGATGAAATGAATGAAATGCTGAATAGGGAGCCCACATGTGATGAAATTAGAGCTGCTCTTTTTCAGATGCACCCTAATAAAGCACCCAGACCCGATGGTATGCATGCTCGATTCTTTCAAAAATTCTGGCATATTATAGGGAATGATGTTATTTCTTTTGTGAAAAAATGGTGGATGGGGGAGGTGGATCTAAAAGAAATCAATAATACTTGTGTGGTGCTCATTCCAAAATGTAAAGAACCAAAATTGATCTCAGAATTTAGGCCAATTAGTTGTTGCAATGTAATATATAAAATCATTTCGAAAACGGTGGCCAATAAATTAAAAGGGTTCTTAGGGGAGGTGGTGTCACAAAATCAGAGTGCTTTTGTTTCGAAACGTCTTATCATTGATAATCCAATTGTTGCTTTTGAGATTTTTCATAATATGAAGAGAGGTGGGGGAGGAAAGGAGGGAAATATTGCCTTGAAGCTAGATATGAGTAAGGCATATGATCGTGTGGAGTAGATTTTCTTGGAGAAGGTGATGGAAAAAATGGGGTTTTCCGGGGTGTGGATAAGCCGTATAATGGATTGTCTGGAGAGCGTTTCGTTTAAGATAAACGGGAAAATTTGAGGTTCTGTTAATCTAACCAGGGGGTTGAGCACTACTAGAAAAAACCTGATTTACGACTGAAAAAATCCGTCGGTACACCTTGAAAATCCGTCGGAAAGTTTAATAGAAAAAAATAAAAAATAAAAAGCCCCACCCACCTCCCCACCCCCTGCCCCCACCACCACCCCACGCCCCACGCCCCACAACCCAGATCCCCACCCCACCCCCTGCCCCCACCACCACCCCATCCCCCACGCCCACCCCCACAACCCAGATCCCCCACCCACCAGCCCACCCACATCCCCACCCACAAAACCCCCATAACCCAGAACCCCACCCACGAAACCCACCCACACCAGCCCACCCACCTCAACCACCTTCCAAAAAAATACAAATTCGAAATTCAAAATAAAAAACAAAATCAAAAATAAAAAAAAAACCAAAAATAGAAAATTCAGAGAAAAAAAAACAAATTAAACCGACAAATAATTCAAGAAAACGAAAAATCAGAACAAAACGAACGAAAAATGGGGGGAAAAAACAAAAACACAAATTCAAAATTCAAAATAAAAAACAAAATAAAAAAAACAAACATAGAAAATTCAGAGAAAAAAAAACGAAAAAAATAAGGTAAAAATGCAGAAAAAAAAGAGAAAGAGAGTAAGAGAACTTACCTTAGATTCCATCAAAACCCCTAAATTGGCTTGAAATTGGGTTTTAAAGGTCAAATTCGACCATGAAAACCCTAGATCTAAGGTTTTTATGGTCGAATTAAACATGAAAAACCTTAGAATCGGTGGTGGAGGCTTTGTTGAGCAGCGGCGACGGTGGTGGTTTTGTTGAGCAACGACGGCGATGGTGGTTTTGTTGAGCAACGGAAGGAGACGGAGGGAGGAGGGAGGAGGAGAGATACGACAGGAAGGAGGGAGGAGGAGAAAGAAACGAGGGGAAGGAGAAGGAAGATGACGTTGGGCGAGAGGAAGGAGGAGGAGAGAGAAACGAGAGGAAGGAGGAGGAAAGAGGAAAGAAAGGAAGGAGGAGATAGAAACGAGAGGAAGGAGGAGGAAAGAAAGGAGAAGGAGGAGAGAGAAATAAAGAAAATCTAGGTTTTTTTATATATATTAAGACTTTCCGACGGATTAATCCGTCGGAATAAGTGGCTTTTCCGAGGGATTATTCCGTAGGAAAGTTCCGACGGATTTAAATTCCGTAGGTAAACCAACTTTCCAACGGAATATTCCGTCGGAAACCTTTTATTCTGAGGGAATTAATTTCCGTCGCAAAAATTTCGACGGAATTTCCGTCGTAAGGAACCTTTTCCAACGAAAATTTCCGGCAGACCTTAATTCCGTCGGAAAATTCGGGAATTTCCGACGGAATTTAGTTCCGTCGGAACGGTTCCCTCGGAAATCAGCCTATTTCTAGTAGTGGAGATAGGGTGATCCTATTTCTCCATATTTGTATCTACTCTGTGCTGATGCATTCTCAACATTATTGAATAAAACGACAATAAATAATCTCATTCATGGTGCCAGGATATGCAGAGGTTCCCCTAGAGTTGCTCATCTATTTTTTTGCTGACGACAGTATTCTTTTTGTTGGAGCTAATGTGCAAGAATTCTCCGTTATAGCTGACATTATCAGCAAGTATGAGAGGGCATCAGGTCAGAAAGTCAATCTTAGCAAAACTGATGTAACTTTTAATAAAAATGTTAATACTATCTGGAGGGAGGAAATTATTGAGATTCTTGGAGTTCAGGAGGTTGAAAAACATGAGAAATATTTGGGCCTCCCAACTACTATTGGCAGATCGAAGAAAGTGATTTTTGCAGGGCTTAAAGAGAGACTATGGAAAAAGCTTCAAGGGTGGAAGGAGGAGTTGCTATCAAGGTCGGGAAAGGAAATACTCATTAAAGCTGTAGCTCAAGCTATTCCGACATATATGATGAGTATTTTTAAAATCCCCGATTCTTTAATTGATAAGTTCCATTCTCTCTTGGCTAGATTTTGGTGGGGCTCCACAGATACGGGAAGAAAGTTACATTGGCAGAGATGGGATCTTCTTTGTCAGCCGAAAGGAAAGGGTGGGTTAGGATTTCGTGATCTCCGTTATTTCAACCAAACTCTCCTAGAAAAACAATTTTGGCGGCTTCACCACAACACGAAAACTCTTTTGCATAGGATTCTCAAGGCAAAGTACTTGAAAATTGTGACGTATTGGATTCATGCGTGGGTTTTGACCCAAGCTATGCTTGGAGGAGTATGTGGGGGGCGAGATCTTTGCTCCTTGAGGGGTTGAAGTGGAGAGTAGGCAATGGGAGTGCTATTGATGTTTGGAAGAACGCATGGCTTCCCAGTAATACATCCGGGTTGGTTCCTACACCCTCGGTGGACAGCGATCCAAATTTGAGAGTCATTGATTTGATAGACCATGGTTGCAATACATGGGATATAGAGGTGGTAAACAACACATTTATTGCTGCTGAAAGGGCTGTTGTTCTTTCCATTCCACTCTGTAATAGATGCCCTAGGGATACAATGTACTGGTGGCCGAACAAAAATGGTGAATATAGTGTTCGCTCGGGTTATTGGTTTGGAAAAGCTGGGGGATTGCTAGGGCTGGAAAGCACCTGGGATGAGGTGTGGAAACTAATTTGGAATATGAGAGCCCCACCGAAACTACGTCATTTCATATGGAGGGCTTGTAAGGGCTTTCTTGCTGTGCGTGAGAGGTTAGCATATCGCCATATTTTGGAGGATAAAACTTGTGCAATTTGTAGGGGAGAGGAGGAGTCCATACTCCATGCTTTATTTGAATGCCATGCAGCTCGTGAAATTTGGGCTGTTAATAACTTCAATGAGACCCTTTCTCAAGCTCCGGAGGATAGCTTCACAACAAGAATCCTATGGATGAAGGATAAGGTGTCGAAAGATGAGCTAACAAACATTGCAACTCTCTGCTGGGCTTCGTGGATGTGCAGAAATAAGGTACTCTTTGACAACGAGCCTATTGATCCAATCGCAATTGCTATTGGTATGTCTAAGTTGGTTTGTGAGTATAATAGCTATGCTGCAAAAGTGCACCCATCTGTAGCTCAGAGTGCTCCATCTGGTTCTAATTGCTAGCGTACACCTTCCACTGGCATTGTTAAAATAAATTGCGATGCGTATGTGGGGGTTGTAACTCAGCTTGGGGTGGTGGCTAGAGTCGACAGTGGTAACATCCTTGCTGCTGCCGTGAGAAAAGGGGGAGATGGTTGGTCTGTGGAAGTTGTCGAGGCTGCAATAGTGGTCTTTGGGTTGAAGATCGCTAGAAGAATGGGGTTCTTAAGAGTCCATGTGGAAAGTGATGCGTTAAATGTGGTTACCAGGGTCAAGCAGAAAACTAATGGCTGCTCACCTTTCTTCCTTATGATTGACGATGTCTTAGCTCTCTCTTTATTATTTGATTGTTTCTTTATTTCTCATGTTAAAAGGTCGGGGAATACTGTAGCCGACTGTGTGGCAAGGTGGGACACTAGAAATTGTGATGAATATGTTTGTCTTGGTTCATTTCCGCATAGTCTATTGACGTTGGCGGAGCTTGATTTATCTTAATATATTTTCCGGCGTTTTTCTCAAAAAAAAAAATAAAAAATAATAATTAGAATCTATCATAGCAATCCAGAACTTAACAACGGAGTATTCTTATTTCCAGAACTTAACTTCCCAATTTCCCCATCTTCTCTTTTCTACTCATCTCTCACGAATTCATTTATTCCCCTTTAAATTTTTTGCGCACTCTGAGTTCCCCATTGAACCGGCTTCTGAGTTTTCTCTTCTCCATTGAAGCAGCTTCTGTCTGAGGTACGATTTTTTTTTTGTTTGTAATTGTCAAATGTCAATTTCACAATCTAGGGTTTGATTTCACCCTATAGTTGATTTAGGTGCCTTTGAACTCAATTTAGGGTTCTTCTTTGGTGGATTGTTTTACTATTGTTTATAATTATTAAATCTATTAACCGTTATAATGATTGATTTTATTGCTAGAATTTTGCTATTTGCAATTTACAATTTACGTAGATATACTTCAAATTTTCATGATTTTTTTTTACCCTTATTTGATAATATAGTCATATTTGGTTGCTAATGTGCTGCATTATCGAAGCCTAATCGAATCTTGTCGAATTTATTTGAGGCCAATCGAGCCCGAGCCAAGTTTGGGTTTTGAGGCTTGTCGAGTTCGAGCCGAGCCGAGCCTGTATAGGCTCAGCTAGAAGGTTTAGTATCCGTAGTGAACCTTGGTCCCTAGGCGGGTGCGCCCGTGGATGTAGATGTTATGCAACTCTATTTTCGTAGTTTAATGTTCGAGAATTTTTCTATAAGAAGTTGTTTGTAGTTTTTATTTATCCTCATTGAGGGGATAAAATGGTGATATTTTGAACGTGATGTGTAGAGGATGGAGGAACAGTTCATTTTGAGAGTTCCGCCTTCCATTGCTGAACGAATTGAACAACTTTTGAATGAAGATCCTTCTTCCTCTGAGGATAAGTCGTTGGATTTGTCTTTCACAGGTGCGATCATACACATCCTCGCTTACATAATTCTATTAATGTTATGTTTAGGGCTAACTATGGTCTGGCAAAGGTTTGCAGGTGGGGAGGGAATAGAATGACATTGGTGGTAATGTTTGATTTAGTGTCTTGTAATAGAAAGGAAAGAAGTTTATATCATATCTATCCTTGTTTTTCTCACTTAAGTGACTTAACCATAGGGAAGGACTAGAATGTTATGTCAAATGCGACTAATTATCAGATTTCTTACAGTCGAGTATCAGACAAAATGATCTTTCTACAACATGATGTTTGCATTTGTATGAAATTGTGTTGTGATTTTTATTAACCGACAAATACTAACATATAACTGATATATAAAACAAAGGAAAAATTCATGGGAATAATCCCACCTTTAGGCCGTTTGTTTTTAATAATCCCACCTTTGGATTTTTTTTTTAATAATCCGACCTTTACCCACCCATTCTTTTTTATTGGTCCCAACCGGTCATGTAACCTTACATGACACGTGGCGGCCTATGATTGGTAAAAAAAAAAGAAGTTTTTTTTTTTTTTTAAATTCCCCTTCCCCTTTCCCTTCTTCCCTCCATAACCGCCAGAGCATAAACCACCACTCACGCAATTCAGCTCCCCTGCTCCTTTAATTCATCAACAACAACAAGCTACAACCACATCACCAGCCACCAGCTATCCCACATAACCCCAACCACAACCAGATCAGCCGCGCACCCCAAGCAGCACCGAATCAGCCAGCCACCGCAACTCAACAGCCACGCAACACCAAAAATTACAAACCGCAACCATCAATCACGCAGCCTGCTTCGAGTCAGCAACCCAATCTAACTCACACAAACGCCGCACCACTAACAACAATTAAACAGCGGTAGCCCCTCAATAGCCTATCAAACGCCATCACAACCAGCCACTAATTCAATGCGAAGACCCACTGGTGCGTGCGCGAAGACCGTACCCACTAGTGTGTGCTCACTTTGATGATGATGGTGGTGCGTTGTTTAGGGGGAGGGGTTGGCTGGGCTGGGATTTCAGGGGAGGGTTTGGCGTGTTGGTGGTTTAGGGGAGGGGGTTAAGCGGCGCCGGCGTTGGGTGGTCAGAATCGGGGCGGGGGAGGGGGGAGGCTGGTGGAGTGGTTTTGGAGTTCGGGTCTGGTGGGGATGGTGGCTGAATTGGGTTTGGGTGGTGGTGGCTGAATTAGGTTTGGGCTTGGGTTTTTTAATTTTTTTTGACCAATTAAGTAATGCCACGTGTAAATTAATCAAAAAAAAAAAATTTACCTCCTCAACCGGTTTCAGGTAAAATGGGACCAATAAAAAAGAATGGGGGGTAAAGGTCGAATTATTAAAAAATAACTCAAAGGTGGGCTTATTAAAAACAAATGGTCTAAAGGTGGGATTATTCCCATGAATTTTTCCTAAAACAAAAGGAGAACTAATGAAGATGTATTGTATTGATACTTATTACATCATACACATCTTGTTCAGACCATACCACTTGTGCGTTGTTTTAATATCAGCCCCTTTTTTTAGAATTTTATGGAAATCCTACATTATGCCCTTCCAAACTCTGATGTCTGGATGTCATTCTTACTTCTTGGTTAATGCTCTCTAAAACTTATTGGTGGTCCTATATCTTTCAGAGGATGGAAGGAGTGGTACTTTTATGATAGGAGATGAACGATTTCCTGCCTCTTTGCTGGATCTCCCATGTGTGACTGAGTCATACAAAACTTATGATGATAGCGTGCTGATCAAAACTGCAGACATTGGTCAAGTAAAGTTAATTTAGTGAACACCATGTTTTTTGGCTGAGTATGTGATTTTCATCCAATGTTGACAATTGCTGCTGGATCAGATGATCTTGGTGAGAGAAGGGAATGACAATCCGCCTGATACTGTGGAGTATAGACATGGCCTTACCCCTCCAATGAGGGATGCTCGACGTCGTAGATTTCGTAGGGAACCAGATCTAAATGTAAGCTACTTCCTGACTTTTCATTTGTTAACCCTTTTGCATCAGCCTTTGGGTTGACTAATGTGGGTATAATAAGTGGAAGAGGCTTTGTCTTTTGCCCGTCATTACTAATCAGCTAGATTATTGGAATTGTCTTCACTGGATGTAAGCCTCAGGTTTATACATTGTTTTGCAGCCAGAGGTTGTTCAGCGTGTTGAGAATGATCTTTGCAACATTATGCGAAGCAGAGATATCCTTTTTTTACATCACAAATATCATGTGTTAACTCAGCTTTTTCTACAAGTATTTTTTATTAGAGGCCTGTGGATCTTGCTTGTTTTGCTAGGAGTGAATGATCCAATTGTGGATACTTTCACTAATGTTTTCCATTTTATTGTCTCTGGGGTTGCCAACATGTCATTTGCTAATTTCTGCACAGAGTACACATACTTTTATTTGGACTTCTTGCTTAGTGTTCTCTAGTTGAGAAGTGGTGGATTACTTGGATTAATTACATTTGCATGTTGCTCATCTTCTAGGTCGTACTCACTATATGAACATCTACCAGTGAGGGGTGATTGATTAAATGGGAATGGAATTATCACTTGGCTAACTTAGTCTCCTTGGTTTGTAACTTCCCAGTAAGTGCTGTGTTACACTATAGTTGCCAACTTGCCATGGTCATTTGTGAACAATTTCATGATCCTCCATTATTCTCCCTCTTTGTTGCATGACCCCTCTTATATTTCTAAATATTCCGTAATAAGGTTTTGAAGGTCAAAGCTGTTAGTTGGAGGTGGAATATGGGAATGGTTTTGAGATTGTTTCCCTTTATTAACCAAAAAAAAAATATAAAAAGAAACTTTATAGCTGCAAGTCCTGGATTTCAGATATACTGTGTGTCTGTGCTGTGATCCATTAATTAGCTGTATTGTTGTTTTACCTTGACTGTAGTAAACGTCCTGAAGCATCTGTCCAGGATGAAGATGCTGATGAAAATGTACGCAATGCTAGCAAGAAACCTGCTCCTACTCCTCAAACCAAGCCTGATACCCCAGATCCTGCTAACAATGCTGGCGAGGCTGAAGGAAGTGACTCAGATGAGTCTGATGAGTCGAGTTAGTGAAAATCTTCATAAGTTGCAAGCTTGCAGGTTCTTAGATTGTTTGGCTACTCTCCCACCCACCAAATATTAGGATTTTCTTTACTGTTGTATATACTGTAAGTTATAAGTGTATGTTCATGATTCTCTCTATCTAATTGTATGGATATTAATGGCTAAATTCCAGTTTTTAATATTCTATAATTCTTCCCTAAAAAAAATTCTATAATTTTTCTGATTTATATTTTACTTGGGTCGATTTGTGCTTATTTGGGATTGAAAAGCTCAATTTTGCTCTAGGTAGTTTACCTTGCTGACACATTGAAGAAGAGAGCAGACGTTGAGATCAATCAATAACTGGTAAGGCAGAATTGCTCGTTAACTTTGGTAATGTTTCCCCCAGATGAGAGTCTCACCGAGTCTGTAAGAGAGGAAGACAGAAAGAGAGAGCGTCCAGGTTGCTGTCAACTTTTAAAGTTTGGGGGCTACATCTATGTTCGTCCGCCAATAAAAGACTTTATACAAAAACATGAGAAGAGAAAACAGAACTAATTAGCTGCTCTTTAATTGAGACACCTAATCATACTCCATATTTGGTTTGTTAAGTACATAATCCTTCACAAATCCAAGTTCACTTTCTTGCAAACCACTTCCCTAAGCCACATAGCATCATTCCATCAAGCAAAGAACCACCTTCTGCTGAACACGCCGTTTATATCTTCTTTTCCACTTTTTCCAGCAACTAAAGAAGATTACATCTATGCTGGCGGCTCTAATCCCCAACCAGCTACAAAATTTAGCCATTGACAATACTCGTCAAGTCGTCAGCAAGACCACGCAACAAACAGGAACTGTATATCTCTGGTTTCATCCAGGCAATAAAAGGATGTTCGGGAATGTTATATACTCCGTATGTTCCAAACCCATGTACACCACGGGACTTTAGAAAAACCTTTGTGCAACCCTTTATATCCCTCTTTTAGTTCCTCCTTAACTCTGCAGACGGAGTAATTTATTTGGACCCTGGTAATCACTCAGTAGTGGCGACCCATAACACTGGACCAAATCAACTAAAACTGATGAGATCCAATAATCTTAGATCTGAACCTAACACATCAAAATAGCACTTGGCTCGTGATAAAACCAATCTAAAGGGAACCTAACATGTTATAGGCTCATCTATTAACAACCCAAAACATGTTCATCCCGACAAATACCTAATATGACTAACCAGTCCGATAACAACTCATGACTCAATTCACCCACCGTGTTCACAACCGGCCTGTTGTTGACCCGACCTCATTTTACTCGTGACCCGATTTCACCCTGCCTATGTTATATACAATATATGTCCCTTATAAGCAACACTTGATCCAAATCCATGGTCACCTCACTTGACTGTCACACAGTCACACCCTAATATTGTATATAACATTAAAGATCAAAGATGACCAAATCAAAGATAGATAATGCGGAAAAGCATAAAACCATTGTCCAAGAATAAATGATACCACAGTTTAAGAGGGGAAAAAAAATATTTGAAAATCCAGGTAATTATTTGAAATTGCCAAATTAGTAAAAGTGATTCTAATTGTATATGCAGTCTGTATGTGGCTTGCTGGTGTTGCAGCACCTTATTCATAGTATCATATTTGCTATCTATACACTGGCTTCCCTTCATCTGATGAAAGCGAGCTAAAGTTGTTCTCTCATTAGTCAATATATTTAACTATACATATAAATTGTACACAAGCTGAACAAAATCCAATAATTTTGGTAATTTTATAGAGTTTGCCGCACAGTAACACATAACATCCAGCATACCAAGTATACTTAACAAGCAACCATATTTGGAATCCATTAACTCTTAGCTCTTACACAAGGTATAGAGCAACAAATCTTATATTCACAAAACGCATCTACACAATTTTGTGGTTGGGCAAGACAGCATTGTAGATGCCTTGATGAAAAGATAGTATCTAATTGTCCCCCTGCCTCAACATGCGCAAGATGGTAAGGAACAAGTTCAGGATGTCAAGGTAGAGTGTAACAGATGCCCAAATGTACTCGTCATAAGTGAATCGTTTAATCAAGTTATCAGTGTCATAAACGATGTAGCCTGAGAAGACTATGGCACTAAGTCCACCATAGATGGCAGTAGATGTAGACCCAAATGGGAAGAATGCCTACAAAGACATGGAAAAGGTGCATAACCATTAGCCAAGTATAAAGCCTAACGAATTAAATCCGTCCTCTGTAATATACAACAAGCAATACCTGGAGAAGTCCAGCAAAAACGATGCCAACAAGGCTTGCAAACAAGACAGGTCCCAGGAAGCTGAAATCTTTGCCCCTTTTAGCAGCCCAGAAGGTGTAACCAGTTAGGGAACAAACAACAGCAGCCGTCAAAACCAACGCTTGAATCACAATTCTTCCTGCATGTATCCCATAAGTAACAGTCAAAACACTCAGTCACATAAAACAGAAACTAATGAAAGTGACACACATACCTTCAGTATTTGCACACGCTACTCCAATAGTAAGACTCAAGCAAACAGTAAACAGTCCAAGGAATATAAAGTTCTGAGGATGCTTTTGCTGGTAATGATATAGCGGCCACAACACTGCAGAAATCCACCAAAGACAATGATGAAAAATATAAACTTACCAAATATTAATTGATGATTTAGATCATAGTTTACTGCAAAACATTCAAAGCTCAAAATCCAAACAAATTGACATACTAACAAAAAAAAAAAGTCTCTCTACTTTTTAAGAAGAGTCCAGCAACAGGTAATACAAATTACATATCTTATATTAGCAAACCCCTCCTCCATCTCTAGAGCAAACAAAAAAAAGGGAGGAGCTGGAGAAGGCATAAGAAGTATTATTATGCTTTGGATACTCTCACTTCGCACTTTGAGGATTAAAAAAACACTTGAGCAAATCATGCCTCTGCAGCAGCATAGGTGCATAGCAACAGAAGACAGTCAAATAGCAATGCAAAGACCATTTAAAAACCAGGATGACAACTGATAGACAATGAATGCAAGTTAAAGAACAGAACTAAAAGACTACAATGAAATCTAGTCAGCATTGCAGAGACAGAGTAAAGCTCATTACACACACTTGAAGCCAAATGTAAGCAAAATATTCACTATACAGTAATAAAAGCAAATACCAGTGGGCACACCTCAAATTCAAATTAAGTGCAACAAACAAATCCTACTCAGCTCAGCCAAAACAGAAGTAATTTACGGTCCTAGACCTTCTAGTGTTCCCTGAACAATAAGCAAAAACATGCTTCATAGAAGTATGTATTTTCGTTACTCTACTTAAATAACTAATCTTTATGTTTAAAAGGATACTTCAGTGATGATTATTGGTTACACGAGCAAGCTATAAAATCCTTTCTACATGAGATAGCTTAAAACAGACCAAGGACCCTCTTCACTGAAATTGAAATAAAGAATCTCATCCTTGTAACTATGATAAATAATGGGGATTTAACATAATTGTGGACCTTGAATCAAAGAAATTGACCCGTAGGTCATCTCTCTCCAAAACGACTTGTAGTAGAAAAAGACAGATGGCCGGAAATGAGAAATCTGTTTCAAATAGCACTTCCACCTCCTCCCATATCAGATTATCAGGTAGCTGTTAGCTACAAAAAGTTCACTCTATTTTGAATATTGGCCAAACATGAGTAATCTGTTACAATCAGCGCCCAAATACTCATTCTATTTTATGACATAGTGTCAGCCTCATGGCCCTCTTACCTTCCTGATTCAAGGCATTAATCGAACATTTTAATGACTCTTCCTATTCATTCACGAATGCCTCATGCTCCGGGTCATCTCTTTCTTCCTGATACCCACCCACCACTCATGCTGATATTATATCTACACAGTATTGAGTATTAACATTCTAGTCTACCTAGATATACAAAGTTCCTAAATCTAACATACAAAGAGTGTGTCCGTTATGTGATATACTAGCAGTCTCACCTTCTTAATTTCTCTTACGACAATTCCGATAATCAGAAAGCATGAAAGTCACACTAAATATCACAATGACTCTTCCAATTCATTAACGCTTGCCTTCTTATCGCCTCTTTCTTCCTGATACACACCCCAATCAATACTCATACTGAAATTTAACTCCCTACAGAAATCCCTAATCTAATCTACCAAGACAAACATAAATTTCCAAGATTTCAAAAACTGCACTGTACCCATCAAATCTCTATTTCATCTCTACATCTCCAATTCAACACCAATTAAAACCATCAACAACTTCGTTAACAGCAATATCATCTCAAAATCCAATCCTTCCACTCAATCAACAATCAATCAAATAACCCAAATCAAATTAATAATCAAATAACCCAAATCAAACTAATAATCAAATTACCCAAATCAAACAAATAATCAAATTACCCACCAAAAATCCATACAATCCAAATCCAACAAAATAGCATAAAAACAACACAAAATCAAAACACCCAAGTCAAAAAATCAATCAAATCTTACAAGAAAACCCAGAAAGAAGACTTACAGACGAAGGGCATGAAAGTGAAGAAGAGAAGAATAGCAGAATTCCCACGAAGAGTTTCATTGATGGGAGAATAAAGGACGGTGAGAAGAGAAACAAGAGTAGTCAAGACGAGCTGAGCAGAAAGGATGCCGTAAACCTTGCGAATGAAACCCCAACGCAATTGATTTTCGCCATAACCTAAACCTGGATAAAGTGTTCCTTCTTCGATGTCACCCTTCACTTCTAAGCCTGAATACATTTTTGATTTTTTTCCCAAATTTCTCAATTCTCTTCAGATCTCTCTTTTGATCTTCTTGAAGATTGAAGATGAAGATGACCTACTGTCTTTCTGGTATAATATGATATATTGATATCTTCTTTTGACGGGTTCTATTATTATTATTTTAATTTGTTATTATGGAAAACTAGTATTTAGCCTATGCGATGCACGGGTTTAACTTTTTCTTTTTTTTTTTTTTTTTTTTTTTTTTTATAGAAAAAGCACACTTTCATTAATAAGCAAATCAGCATTCAAGAGGGATAAAATAGAAGACGGGAAATTCGTCAACCATATACGACTACTAGCCACTAGAGGTGATCAAAGTTGGCCCGACTCGTCGGCCCGGCCCGATTTTGGGCGGGTTTTGGGCAGAATTTTACGGCCCGAAATCGGGTTGGGCCTGGTCCAGCCCGAAAATTTATTTATTTTTGCCGGGTTTGGGAATGCGTTTTTATGCATATTTAGTTTTTTTCCGGCCCGAAAAGCCCGCCCCGCCCGACCATTTTGGGCGGGTTTGGGCACAACAATTTCGGCCCGGAGCTTGGCCCGACCCGGCCCGAGAAATGGGCAATTTTTTTTTGCGTCAGCCCGGCCCGCCCAATGATCACCTCTACTAGCCACCCATGGTAAACAATGAGCAATCTCATGGGAAACCTTATTTCCCTTCCTTCGCACAAAACTCCAACTAACCAGATCACGAAAACTAATATAATGATGAATATCATTCAAAATTAACTGGACACTACTACTTCCCTTTTCTTGTGATGAAATTGCATTAAATAGGCTAAAGCAATCACTCTCCACTACCACCTTTTTGAACCCCGATTCCACAGCCAACTTAACCCCTAGAAACATGGCTTTGACAACAACAGGCAACCATCGATCCTCCATCATCTAAGCAGCAGCAGTGAGGGCTTCCCCCCTTTCATTTCGAATTACAACACCTGTAAAACACCCCCACCCCTCGCAAACTAACCCCTCCATCAACATTGAGCTTCACCCAACCTGATCTTGGGGCCTTCCAGCGCTGCTTTACACACCTAGCACCACCCCCCCCCCCCCCCCCCTCTTTGCTGACCTCTTCGCTCATCAGCTCACACATGAGCTTTTTAACATATTTTATTAAACGATTCGGATCACAATCTTCCCCTTCAAAAATCCAATTAATTCATGCAGTTTATATTGCCCAACACACCGTCATGAACAAGCCATAATCTGCTCTCTGTAAGCGAGTTAAGCACGCTGCAACCATATCCCCAAAATTGCAGAAAACACCCTTTACATCACCGCCCAATAGCATTCCTCCCTGGCAGCCTCCTACTCAACCCGGCTAACGTGGGCAACACTCCTTTACAAGCTCTCCACACAAACAATTTAACACGCGGTAGAGTATTAGCATGCCAAATTTTGTTCCACAGATTCGTCCCACCCAAAGAAGAGGCCTCATTCCCACCATTATGCTCCCCAAAAATAGCTCTATAAGCTGAGCGCACTGAGTATTCGCCATCCTTCTGAAGATCCCAACAAATCAAATCCTCCAAAAGGCGACAACTTAGAGAACATGGCTTACGTAACGTAAAGCAATAGCGAGCAAATAGCAATCGAATCTTCAACCTCACAAAGCTAGCAAATTGTATATTTAGATTGCTTTACGTTTAATTTGAATCAAATTATATGTAAAAATAAATTGCATTGTAGAAATACTACTTAAAATTTAATACATCATTGTTAATAACAAAGTTATACCCTCACCCTTCTCCTCTTTATTTCTAAATGAACTTTTAGAAATAAATTTGTAAAAAACTATTGTAAAAAAAACCAGATCAAATTTAAAACAAAAAAAGAATTGTTTAAAAATGATAATGAAAAATAAAACGAAACACTACATTAAAATCTAATCTTAAATATCATATTGTATCACTAATAAAATAAAACCGATTTTAGAGTTAGGCCACAAGACAACGACAATTGACATTCTAGTTTTTCGCCAAGTGTTAAGCCACGTAGGCGACAAATAGGTATTATTGTAACACATAGGATGCTAAATACGAATTTTGGATAGATTTTGTAAGATAAAAATATACTCTGTAGTATAGAGTTTTATTATAGATGATTAGGGGATTTAACACCGCCACGTGGACTAATTAAACTCTGCCACGTGTCATCCACGTGGACCAACCAGAGTCCACCACGTGTCACCTCGTGAGAGGTCCAAGGTGGACCAATCAGGCCACGACACGTGGCAGACGGATTGCTAACTAGGAAAGGCTGCCTAAAAGGCCCAAACTCCTAGGCAAACCCAGTCAGTTCTAGGTTTCTGTAACCTAGTACTGGGCCCGTACTTTGAGACCCTATAAAAGGGAGATGTTCCCCCTCGGGATCAGGGGATTCACATTCAGAAATTCACAAACACACAGATACACCAAATTGAGCAATTAATCATTGCATATACTCTCTTGGAATCTGAGAGAGACTTTACTTTCCGCACTTTACATCTTCGAACACGTTTTAACTTGATCGTCGGAGGCGGAATTCCACCCAACCGAAGTCTTCGTTGTTTTGCAGGTACAGGCGTCCAGAGACCAGTCTCGAAATTGTAACTCTCCTGTAGGACATTAAAAAAACCTCGAAACATTTGGCGCCACCTGTGGGGAAAGTACTTCTGAGATGGCTTCACAATCTATACCGCCTCCTAATGAGAAATGGCCTATGGCCGACGCCCAGGTCTATACAGACCAAGACACTGATGACGACTATGAAGTCGATACACACACGACCCCTGACGGTTCCCTAAGAACTAGGCGCATACGTCCCATTGAAAGGAGGGAACGGATTGGTGAACCGGCGGGTCCTAGCGAACCAACCGGCCATCCGGCTAGTCAACCCCGGGTGGCCGAAGGCTCCGCCCCTATCACCAGAAACGAGCTCATGACTCTTATGACAAGTTTCAAAGGGGAGATTAAGGACCTGATTGATAAACGGACGGCTGTCTCCACCAAGGAACAGTCGGCCAAGAAGCCTTCCCAGTTTAGGAGGAAAAATCCGGTCAAAGATCGAGAGGCTACTCCTTACCCTAAACCTAGGGAGAGACAGTCGCCCTTGATCGACTTAACCAAATTCCGATTCCCTGAGCAAGGGAAGAGGAAGGCCATCCGGCATGTTCAGCCGGATGGTTCAAAGAAAACTTATTCTGATGCCCGGATGTAAATCCAGCAGAAGAAGAACATATAACTGTCAGAGTTGGCTTCAACGTCAAACTTACAAGACAGCTTTCAGGATACCTCAATGAGGTATTCTCAATCAAACCGAGAGAACCAAACAGGTGGCATATCCGCACACTCTGGTCCTCACAACTCTCTTCGGAGGGAAGTTGGCACAAAACGTCTAACCTTTGGAATGGCAGCTTCGACTGCTAAGACTTGGAGAACAACCCTCTGCATTCTCCAAGGAAATAACTGAGGCCGCACAACCGGCCAACGTGAAAAATGTGATGGTAGGTACCTATGATGGTACCACTAATCTAGAAGATCACCTTATGGCATACAAGGGTTGGATGATGCCGCATGGTGTCGATGCTTCCTGACCACATTGAAGGGTGTCACCCAACAATGGTTCGGCAACCTGCCAGCCGAATGCATAAATAACTTCAAGACGCTTGCATACTTGTTTGCGTCTAACTTCTCAATGAACATTCGTGCGAAGAAAACTAGTCTTGACTTGGGAGCTATACGGCAGGGAGAGATAGAAGGGCTACGGTCATACATCAGGTGGTTCAATCTGATGAGAATTCAGATTCAAGGACTATGTGATGAGGTGGCCTATACAGACTTTTTCAAAGGTCTAAAAGACGGGTCGGCCTTCAAATTCGACCTTGTCAAAAAGAAGGTTGCTACCCTCCAAGAAGCACTGATGGAGGTGGACGCCTATATACAGGAAACCGAACTCTGCAACATCAGTAAACAGTCGGAAAAAAAAAAAAGTCTGACAAGAGAGAGAGTCAGTCATCACAGCCGGCTAAGAAAGAAGAAAAGAAAAGAAAAGAAAAGAATTTTGGGTGGCTGATACTTCTGAACAGTCTTCCCAGAAGAAAAAGAAAGAAACAAAAATGTACTCCTCGAAATACGAGATCAATAAAGACTGTTACTCCATCCTCATGGAGATAAAAGACCGGATGACTATTGAGAAGTCGGCTGCTATGAAAGGTTCCGCCAAAAATCGGAACAAAAATAAATATTGCCACTTCCATGAGGATATTGGTCATGACACCAACAACTGCTTTAGTCTCAAGCGGCTGTTAGACCGTCTGGATGATAAAGGGGTACTCAAGTCTTATATTCTGAGGTCCAAGGTTACCCTGCAGACTAACCCTGGGCAGTCGTCTAACAAGAAACCTCAGTCTGCTAATAGCTCGGATACTGATGATACTCCGATCTATACAATAGCATGCGGCTCTGCTGGAGGCAACCCAACGATCCGAGGTAACAAGGACTACATCAGACGGCTCAATGTCAACTCGGTCGACAAAGGGCAGGCGTCCAAGGACTCTTTCCCCGAAGTTGTTATCACTGAGAGTGACAGGGGCAAAGTCAGGAGGCCGCATGATGACCTATTGTCATCGAATGAAAAGTGGACAACCAAAGAGTTGGCCGAATCCTCATTGACACTTGTAGTTCGTCTGATCTCATCAGCCACAAGTGCCTGGCCAAGCTCAGGTACAAGCCTGAAAGCATGCACTAGGTCTCTTATCCCTTAGTGGGATTTGGGGGCGGAGTTGTGCACCCGGTAGGTCGAATAGACCTACCTATTTGGCTGGGAGAAAAGGGAGAGGGACGCCACATGGTGGTCCGGTTCTTGGTTGTTGAAGAGCTGACCGCCTATAACATGATTTTAGGGCGTCTCACCCTAAATGAATCCAAAGTTGTTATCATTCCTTCCCTTATGCTTCTAAAGTTTAAAAATGATGATGGAACAGTCGGCTCCCTAAGGGGGAGACCAGAAGACGGCTAGGGAGTGTCATGGTGAAGCCGTCCACAAGGCGGTAAGGCAAAAGAAGAGGAACCATGGTGAAAAAAGAAGCCAGGCGGTAGCCACCTAGGTGAAAAAACTGTTAGATGCTGGATTTATTCGGCA